TTAATAGGGAATTGTTTCAGTAAAACATGATTCAGCTTTTCAATGGACTTTTCAATGTAGCTATTAAAAAGACTGAGTTTGATTTATATGTGTGATAGGAACAATCTTCAATATGTGAAATGTCAAGGTTCAGACCAGTGTATATAACTTGCTTCCATTTGTGTAAGGAAAAATACATACATATATATATACACATATATACACATACAGATACACACACACACACACACACACACAGTATAGGTCTACAGTCATAAGAGCATAGAAAATCAATGACTATTTCCTCTAGAGGAGGAGATTGAATCTTTGAAGTAGGGGGAAAACCTGCTTTTTATGAATACCCTCTGTAGTATTTGAATGATTTAACATGCAAATATATTGCAGCTTTATTTATTTATTTATTTTTGTTTTGGGTTTTTTTTTTAGGGGGTAATTAGGTTTATTTACTTATTGTTATTATTATTTTTTAATGGAGATACTGGAGATCGAACCGATGACTTCGTGGATGTTAAGCATGTGCTTTACCACTGAGCTATACCCTCCCCCCCAGCTTTATTTTTGTTTCATGTTGTTTTATTTGCATTTTCAAAGATCACCTATAGCAGGCGAAGAGAGCTGCTGGCTCATTGTGACAGCTCTTGAACAGGGAATTTCCTCTAAGTTGCAGCATTTTTGGGGAATTTACTATACAAACTTCAATCTGTGAGTGGATTAACTCTCTACGGCTGAGACGGGGCGTTTGTGGCTGATTCTATCCATCCACTGTTCCATCTTCTACTGTTCTGAAGAATATGCTACATGTGTGCCGTGCACATTTAGATCTTCTAATTCTGTTGTGCACTTAACGTTATTTCCCTGGCTGGAGCCTTGCCGGCCTCTGGCCTGGCAGAGGCGAAAGACCATGGGCTTTGCAGTACTTACTGGGTTAAACTCCCCCGTCACTTTCTAACTGAGGAATTTGAGGCACTTTCATTGACTTCTCTGAACTCCTATAAAATAAGGAGAAAAACAGCCAGTTGGTGGGGTTGTTGGGACAATTTACTGGGATAGTGTACCCACAGCGAGACAGCGGGAGGAGCCCTGTAACACAGAGGCATTGCCCTCAGCATGTTGCTGGTGTCCTTTTGTGGCACTGGTTTCTAAACAGTGACCAATACGGCTTTGAATAATCCCTCAAAGGCCCGTCACATGCCATGTGCTTCAGTGGGGAGCAGGGTTGGGGCTAGTGTCGTGATGCTGGATGGCCCCTCATGTGGAAGGAAACAGAATAGTCCTAGTTAAGAGGATCCTCTTTTTCTTCTCAAAAGAGAATGAAAATTTCTCAACATACACGACCTGAAAGCTGGTACTAGTGCTAGCTGAAGTCCCCAAACAGCCATTTTGATGGTATTATATAGTCATTATTTACTTCTGTTCAGTTTCCAGTGTGTTCCCTCCCTCCACATTTACATGATCTTCTATCAGAGAGGAAGTTCCTTCTGCCCAGAGAACTTTCATTTAGACTTTTTTTTTAAGCACAGGTCAGCTGGCAGCTGGTTCTCTCACCTTTCATTCATCTGAAATGTCTTTATTTTGGCTCAATTTTTGAAATACATTTTTGCTTGGCAGTTATTTTCCTTCAGCACTTTGAAGCTGTTACTCCAGTGTCTTCTGGTTTCCGTTGCTCCTTTGAAGGTGATTTGGGAA